GATTGACCTTGTGAGTTAAAATGAGACTAGTCATAAACTACATTACAATGATCATGAGGAGGCACCTAACAAGTAACTGCAGAATCTGGTCAGTTTTCTTCTCTTATACTTCTTTTATTATTATTAATCTTTCATGTTGTTAGAATATCACTTTTTCGCCTCATTCTCTTCTTCTTTCAGTTGTGAGTTAAAATGAGAATAGTCATGTTACAATGATCATGAGTAGGCGGTTAGGCGCCTATTTTGTAACTGCAGAATCTGGTGAGTTTTCTTCTCCTATTCTGTTTTTTATCATTCTTCTTGTTAACCAACCTAAAAATGTGCCATTGTGTTGCTGCAAATCTTGGAACTAAGGGTTAGTTTGGCAACGTAAATACTAACCTGGTTTAGTTTTCAACTAGATAGGCTTAGTGTAGATTAGGCTAAACTAGTTATATGTGAACTAGTTTTGAGCTGGACCTAGTTTGGTAAGTATAGACAAAACTGATTCGAACTATTTATTGTTTGGTTAGCACATATCTTTAAAAATAGATCCCCAACTTGATGATCAGATTTTTTGTTCTTTTTTTCTCTTTAGATTTTTTGGGCCACTAAACGGGTTCTCTTCCAACCCCCCCCCCGGGGGGGGATTGATGGGGTTCTTTTCTGACCCAGTTGTTGGGGCAATATGGGGCCAAGCAAAAACAAGTTAGGCCCAACTTTTTGTTTTGCCAAACTAGGGCTAAGCTATTGGCCCAAGGTTGTTCCAACTAAAACCAGTGTAATAGGTTTACCAAACAGGCCCTAACATACTTCATGAATTACTGATGCACCTATTTCATAGTTTACTTTCAGACCTTAATATATGATTTTATCATAGCAAAGAATCTATAATCTTGCTGGTGCTACATTTTGAGTTTAGTTTGCCATGTACTGTAGATGTTTATTGTTAATGTTGATGATCATTTTATTTTATTTTTTAAAACATGGTTCTTTACCTTTTGTTGGCACGGAATTCGCGTGTACTTGTACAGTTGTTTAATTATTACATGTAACAGTGCTGCAACATTTATCTGGAGTTCTAAAATTTCAGTAACTCTTTTAACAGGTTCCAGCATTTACCCCTAGTGTATAATCGAAAACCTATTTTTAATGGTACAAAATCTTAAAATGGTTATCTTGTCCAAGCATCTTGATCCTAACTGGACTGACCCACTTACATTTTGCGTTAGGCAGGTCAACCCGAGATAGACCCACATCCTTTTATTGGAACCATAAACAAATGTTAATTTCGACTTGCTGGGTAAATTTTGCCGCACTTAATCTTGGGTATCTTTAATTTTCTTGGATCAACTAGGTTTTGATAGGTCATTATGCTTTGCGGGGAGAGGTAAAAGTGCTATGTTATGATGTTTTTTTTCATTTATATTGAATTTATTTCTCAGTTGGATTGTTGAAAGAAGATTAGGGACCTCATTAGTCTCTTATCTCCGTATCTTGTGTTCAGCAATTTTACATCCAATCAATTTCTTGCTTGCACCTGTTTTAGGACCTTATTGTTATCAAAAGGCTAGTTAAAATTAATTAATATTACCCATTTGATCCTATTGCTCAGCGGATTAATACTTCACAAGTGATATTTCATTTTGTTTTTATGACTACAGCCACTGTAATATTCTTTATTTCGAGACAACAATCTTGGGTTAGTGATTACTTAACTTTTAGTAATCAGATTTTAGCTGCAGACCTTGGTTGCAACTTTACTGTTATATTTTTTAATCCTATTGCTCAGCAGATTAATACTTTACAAGTGATATTTTATTTTGTTTTTATGACTATACCCACTGTAATGTTCTTTATTCCAAGACAACAATCTCAGATAAGTGAAACAAGCTCTATTATCCCTCTATTAGGAGGCCAAGCCAAACTTACTTGACTCTGTCACTTCAACATATAGCCAATCACGCGCAACTGAATACCACTAAGGATGCTGACTAGCATGTGCTTCAGATATTTTTTTTTTGCTAATGTTTCTCCTATCACTTGTTGTTTGGCTACTTTTCACTGTCTTTAAATTCCAGATTCAAGACAAGGAGATGTTTTCTACTGTAAATAAAAAATATGGAATGATCAGTTTTCATCAGGATCCTGGACAGTACAAAACTTGTGAGATGATAGAGCACATTGCACATTGACTCATCTATTCACCCACTAAACACTTGTTTTTTCTGTTATTTCATTCTTGAACCTGCTTGTGGTTGGCTGTCCACCTACTCCAGATAATATGGTGCTGTCTATGTATAATTTCTTTCTAATGACACTTAGTTTATCTATAATAGGATTTGTACTATTTCTTACTGTACTATGAAAGTGTAAATCCATGTTCTAGTTTTTCTTAAACCTGAAATCTCGAGTTATAATTTACCTTATAACCTTCACCAATAAGTCAGAGGGAAAACCGTAACCATAACTTTAGTGCTTTTCTATCGTTGTTGAAGTCTTGAAGAAGATATTATCAGTCTTTAGGCTATTATTTTATATTTTATTGATCAGCTCTGAAGAATATATCATTGATGAATTAAGTTTTTTTTTATTTGTATCATTTTTCTTTTGGCTTTTATGTGATGATAACTGATAAGCCTTTTAGATGAAATTAACCAGAGCATTCAGGTCTGGATACCGGTACTGTTGCTTTTCACTTGACTGTCCATGTTTCCATCTTCAATTGTTTAAAAGGGATCTTGTTCCAGTTAACTACCAAACATTGTTCATATCTTTTGGGAGCATCGTGTTGTTAATTAAACATTTGTCTAACATGCATATTTTATTGATGATTTTACAATTTTAGGGACTAGGCATGTAAATTGAGTTGATTAATCTGATTCATTTGCATTTCCCAAATCGCTTGGAGAGGAAAGATAACTTTCCCCATTAACTATAGGAATTTTGGGATCTATTGGCAATATGGTTATTAGGTCATGCTTGTCTTTTGATTTACTCGCTAGTTGCTACTTGCTATTCACAAGTACTTTTTATTGTTTTGATGTCATAAACTAATTGATATTAAAGGTTCAGTGTCCTTTTTTCTCTTCTCTTTTCTTTTCTTTTCTTTTCTTTTTTTAATTGATATTTGGTGAGATGTGGCTGGTTTAGCATTGGGTTTGGGAAGAAATTGGGTGGTCATGAAGGACGTGGGCATTGAGAAGGCACTGCTCTCAAGTTCAATCTGCCAAAAATCACTTACTTTTCCCCTAATTTCTATTTCGATGGATGAGGTCCCCAAAATTTTTTTGCTGCCAAGTTTTCTCTGAGACCTGTTAACTATTTTTTAGCAGAATTTTATTTATTTTTACAGGTAGCTTTCCTCTTGGTTTCTCACCAAAACATTTTTCCTTTATAGGGTGATTAGGGTCTTATGAACTTTCTTGGTAATTGTAGATTATAAAGCTTGTAAATTCTTGTTTTAGCTCCCAAGATATCAATGTGGATATCAGGGATTCGGCAATGGAGGATAAGGGAATTGCATAGATGGTACTCGCTTATTGAAAGAGGGAGAGGAAGATAGTCCACCAAAACTGTTTACTGGTAAATTGTCTCTTAGCATGTTAACTGTAGAATTTCAGAAACTGCCCGAAATATGAGTAATTAGGTCAAGCCTGTCTTTTGATTTACTTGCTATATACACAAGGAGTTATGATTGTTTTGATGCCATAAACCTATTGATGTAAAAGATTTGCAAGTTATTTTGTGGAGATTTAGGAGGTTTAGGGTTTGAAGAAGTACCCCTTAGTATCAGGATGAGATGAGCCAGTGATGAACGACGAGGGCATCGAGAAGGTGGTGCCCTCGATTTCAAACCTCCTAAAATTGCGGTTTCATCCCCTAATTTCTTTTTTGATGGATGAGGCCGCCAAATTATTTCACGGGTAAGCTTTGTCTTAGACCCATCTACTATTTTCAGCAGAATTTTTTTTTTAGGTAGCTGGCCTCTTGGTTTTCTTGTTGGAATATACTTCCTTTCTAGGGTTGTGATGAATTTTCTTGGTACTTGTAGATTATGAAGCTTGTAAAAGTCTTGTGTCAGCCTCTCAACTTCCTCGATATCTCTTCTGCGGACATCAATGCTTTGGCGATGGAGGACAATGACATCGAGTTGATGGTGCTTGCTTATTTAAATAGGGTGAGGAGGATGATAGTCAACCAAAACCTTTTGCTGGTAAGTTTTCTCTTGGACAACTTAACTGTAGAATTTTGGTAACAGTTCGAAATATTGGTTATTAGGTCAAGCTTGACTTTTGATTTACTTGCCATTCAGAAGGACATTCTGAAAAGCTGTGAATTTAGAATTCAGATACAGGTATGTTGAAATAAATATTCATTAGATTATGATTTCTTCCATCTATGCATGGAATCATATGAGATGGTTAGTTATTAAACTCATAATTGAAACCAAGTAATATGTAAGCCTCATATAGTGATTTTCCATTTTCGTTTGCTATTATTTAATTTAAACTAGCTATATTGCTTACTTTGAATAGTAACTCTAGGTGTTTGGCAGTTTATTATAGGATTTAGGGTTAGGATTAGTTGAAAGAAAGAAACATTACTTTGGTTCGGTAGAGGTTTTGGTATTGGTCTGGCTTTGTTATTAGTTTAGGCATGGCTTTGGTTTTGGCTTGGCTTTTGTCTTGGTTTTGGGTTAGTTTGGTTTGCTTTTGTTTTGGTATTGGTTTTGGGTTGGTTTCGTATTCGGTTTGCTGTTGTGATGGGGACATCCGGACACATACACGGGATTTTCGCCGAGTTTATCAGCGAAGGAGACGCCATGTTGCAGCACTATGGTTTTGATTTCAATTGTAATAAATTAGTTTAAAATTTAAATTTTTGAATTTCAGAATTTCGAATTTTGAATTTTATTTGGTAGCTAATTAGTTAATTGGTTGTATTTTGGTTATGAGAGAGATTTGAGGGATTTAGAGGATTTTCCAAATCTGTATTTTTTCTTTATTTAAACTCTCTTGTAATCAGATTGAGAATTATTGAAGATGAAAATGAAATTGATTTTGCTCAGTTGAGGTGTGAAACCCTAGCAAGTTCATTTTCGTTTCTTCTACAGCACAAAAAAAAGAAAACAAAAGAAAATTAAAAAAAAACCGCACTGTTCATCTTCTCCCCCATCTCAAAATCAACAGAACCCATCAAACATTTCTTGTTTCTCCTCAAATCCGTCGACCCTCTGACCTCCTCCACCGCCCGGCGGGCGAGATGTAACTGAACAGAGTGAGTATTCAAAATTATGCATCAGGCTTCCTTCGTTCGTGTAGCAATGGAGAGGAGAAGGGCGGCGGATCGGATGACTGAGCGAAACGGCGGCGGGAGCGGGTGAAGTCGGCGGTGGCCTGAGCGAGGAGACTGGAGGTGTGGCGTTGCAGGAACGACGGGCCGAGATTGTGGGGGGTGGGAGGAAGCACTGAGGCGGGGCGTGCTGGTCTGCCGGAGGAGAGGACTCGGCGGTGGGTTA